GAGGTAACTATTGTACTTTATACTGTACTACATCTCAGAGGTCCATATTGTACTTCATGCTGTACTACATCTGAGGTACATATTGTACTTTATAGTGTACTACATCTCAGAGGTACATTGAAAGTAAGTCAATCAAAATGTTACTTATTTAAAGTGAAGTATTGTCAGCTAAATGTACTTCAAGAATCAAAGTAAAAGTACTCATTATTTTACAGTTATCTCTTCTTATATAACATTGAGTTTTTTCAGCTTTTTGTAGTATTTTAATGACATACTTTGTATTTGACGAGTTATGAGTGAAGCATCAACACAAACAATACAAAGAAGAAAAAGTCCCCGTTGATGCTCAATGGTGAAATAAAAGAAACAAAAGAAACACTGATGAGACAAAGAAAGTCATAGAAAAGATTTTATTGACCAACAAAATGAAACTCATCACATGGGGTCAGATTCGACATTTAAACTCTGATCCCAGATCAGCTGAGACGCCCTGAAGGCACCATGTGACCGACCTCAGAGACCAACACGGTGCCTTTCAAAATAAAAGACGCATCAGTCACACCGACAGTAACGTCTTCAGAGGCACTTCTTAGTCTAAAACCACGGGTTCACATGGACATCACGCTGCACTCAGAGGATTCCACGAGAGATGTGACTGGAGCTGAACATCGACGTTCATGAGTTCATCTCAGGAAACGGATCATCTCTGGGACAAAACACGTCGCCTGTAGAATAATGATCTGCTGTAATTATTATTAATCTTACTTTAACTATTGATTCATCTGCAGACTATTCTGTTGATAATGTTTAATTTAAAGGTATTGAACACTATTGATTCGGTAGAAGTGGATATTGTTGTAATATTTGTTATACAGTATATTTATCTGAGCAAAAGAGTAATTCTCCAGGTTTAGTCTTCGTCTCAGTTCATATTTCTATAACAACATTTATCAGCTCTTTATTAAGCTTTTTCTTAATCAATAATTAGTTTTAATGATCTCTTTAACGTCAGCAGCTGGAGTTCAGGTGAGCTTTATGTTCTTAATGATTAAAAATAAGCACATTTAAAACGCTTCATTCTGTCGTAGTGTTTCAGCTCCAGTCACAGAAGAGTTGATATTTAACAGTGAATGATTCGTGTCTGGTCCTCCAAGCAGCATGAAGAAGTTCACTGACACTAACTGCACGCTCAGCTGTTACCAAACATCCTGAATAACCAACGCTAATGAACTCTGACACAGAAAAAAAAAAAAAAAAAGCAGCAGTGCATTCTGGGGAATGTAGTGCCCTCTGCTGCAGCATTTTGGCACAAAAACAGGCAGAAGATAACGTTGTGCAGCTTCTGTTTCTTTAAGGCTGTTAGATCATCCAAACATTTAAAGTCTTCGTTCTCAGAAGCTCGTTAAAGACTCTACTTTCACACTGACGAGCTAATTAACGCTAACGAGGCGTTAAGATGAACCGTGAACCTCTTCAGTTACACATATTTATGTGTTTAAAGTCTCATTTAGACACAACTAACACAAACGTATGTATTCTTATTATTATTGTTGTTATTGTGAGCTTGTCTCCTGTGGTGGTTTATGCGAGTCGTCACTACGCTGACGAGTATCTCACGACGCCCACTCGGAGGAATTTTTGGTGTAATCAGGCCGCTATGGGCCAGTTTACGCCTGTGAGACAAGAGGCCCGAGTTTATTCGACATCGAAGCGTAGAGAGAAAAATGAGTCTGGTCCGGGTCCCAGCAGCTGCTGCTGCTGGTCCCAGTGAAACAGGCTGAACTACAGGAAGTTCTCTGGTCTACAGTTAAATATTCCCATCACTTCATCCATCAACACCCACCACCAGTCCCCTCACCAGTCTGGTTACTGGTTATAATCTCACTACAGACACACAAACAGATGGAAAGCACAGTGGTGACAGGGTCTCCAGTGCCCCCCCCGACCCCCTACTAAACGACAGGAAGCAGCAGTGTGTCGGTGAGTGGGAGGAGTCACCGACTAGAGGAGGCGGAGCCTCCTGAAGGGGCCGGAGGTCACCGAGACGAGCTCCTCTCTTTGCTGACGCAGTCGTCTCGACCGCTGACGTCTCCGTTGGCCGTCGCCCCGCAGGTCCGTCTTTTCTTCCTGCGGTGGGACACAGCGTCCTCGGAGCCCGACGCCGCCTGGGGGGGGGGGGATGGGACGGAGTGTTCAGACGGGACATGTGTGGTGTTATAACATGTGTGTTATGTTACGAGTCTGTCACGTTCCGACACCTGTTGGCAGCTTCAGAACAACACATGTGAGCCTGACAGGGAGGGTTTAAATATATAAGTGCTGCTAACGTTACTAGCTCCTCTGGTTGGTTAGCCGTTAGCGGTGCTGCTAACGTTACTAGCTCTCCTCCT